CAGTCCGCTTTGTAAGGTAATGGCTTTGAATGGCTAGTTAAAACACCGCGATGAACACAACCGGAGTAGTTGCTCTATGCTGTAGAACAAATAGGTGGGCCTTTCCTCTATCCCTTTCATCTTACTGTTAAGTAGGAGAAGAGCAGAGAGACAGAAAGAGAGGAAGAGGAAGAGGAAGAGGAAGAGGAAGAAGAAGAAGAAGAAGAAGAAGAAGAAGAAGAAGAAGAAGAAGAAGAAGAAAGGAAGGGGAATATGTGAGCTGAGTTGGAAACCAGACACAGAGATCTGCTTGCTCTGTGATGCATCCAAAGTTATGACTAATGGGGAAGCAAGGCCTGCTGGGATATTAAAGCTGTGAGTCCTTCTGTCCCTTTATTTACATGTGTAAATAAAACCATATATCCTAAAGACACCATAGTCTGCACTGAGCTTCATTCCAAGGAAACTGAACCCTGGGGAAGCACAAAAATCCCTGGAGTTTCTCACTTCTCAGAGAGTGGGATGGCATGTAACAATATCATTGTTCCTCGGATAGACTTGAGAAATCTTTCCAGTCCACTTGAGGGACTGTTGGAGGTCACATAGTACTTTTTAAGGTGCTTTAACTGCACACCTGAAAATGCTATTAGGCCATTGTCGAGCCTTTCCTTCATCAGTGAAATTGCTTCTTAATGGCTCAGGATTTGTTTTTAAAACTGTTTTCTCATTGGTACCTATCTAGCTGGGAAATCTCTTTAGTGTTAGGCACCAGAGGTTTGACAGGGTAACACTGCCCCCCTAGCAGTCCTACCAACGAAAGGGACAATGAGGTTGGACTAGAATGACACTTTGGTCCATTTCAACTCTACAATTTTATGATTCTATGAAGCTGATGTAAAGGGAGGAAAATTTGGAATACTGTGTACAGTTCTGGTCACACCTCAAAAAGGACATTGAAGAGCTGGAAAAGGTTCAGAAAAAGGCAGCCAAAATGAACATGGGGTGGAACGACTGTTATATGAGGAAAGGTTACAACATTTGGGTTTTTTTAGCTTAGAAAAAAGTTGGACATCTGTTACAAGCTGCAAGGGCTGTTAGAGTTAGTCACTGGAAAGATCTCGCCAGTGTCAAATTGCCATCAAGTGGTATGGGATACAGTGTTACTAAAAAATTTAAATTAACAATCTGAGCTCAGACTAAGAAAGATAACTTTACTGTGGTGTGGTCTGATTTTATAATATTTACTAGCACAAATATTGATATAAAATAAGGTTCGGTTGACGTAGGCTTTCCTTTCCTTTTCACATGATATATAGCAAATGATGCTTGAATTCTTATGTATAAATTTTTAATTTTATTTTGAAATAATCGATTATGAGAGAAATGAGTAACAAACTTACTTGCCTGGTGGATATGATTTGGGCATGGTATACACTATGGTGGTGGTGTTTCATTTATTTATTTTTAAAATAATAATTACTTACTTTTGTTTCCTTAGCAATTTATCAGCTGCCAACCTTTCGTAGAGTCAATTTGTTTCTTTAAAGTGTTTAATAATGTTTTGACAGCTGCAATATTTCTTCTTTTAGTTTCTTACAATTTAATAAACATAATTGCTTAAAAAAGAAAAGTTGAGTAAGAAGGACATAATAGGAGTTTATAAAATTATGTATGACCTAGAGGAAGTGGACAGAGAAAAGGTTTTCTCCCTCTTTTCTAACACTGGAACTCATGAACATCCAGTGAAGCTGCTGAATGTTGGAAGGTTCAGGACAGATAAAAGGATGTCCTTCACACAGTACATAGTTAAACTGTGGAAGTCTCTCTTGCAGGAGGCAGTGATGGCCACCAACCTGGATGGCTTTAAAAAGAGATTAGACCAACTGATGGAGGAAAAGGCTATTTATGGCTACTAGCCACAATGGCTTTGCTCCACCTCTGCTGCCAGAAGGCATAATGCTTCTGAATTCCAGTTGCTGGACACTGCAGGAGGAGAGATGGCTCTTATGACTGAATCCTGCTTGTAGGTTTGCCACAGGCACCTGGTGAGCTACAGGACTAGGTGGGTCTTTGATCCATTAGGGCTTCTTACATATTTGTGAAAGGATGAAAGAAAGTCTGGGGACAGACAAGAAGACAGAGAGAAAAGGAGAGAGGGAGAGAGTTGGCTACTGGACAGCTGTGTCCTGGGGTTCTGGGCATCTCTCCCTGGAGATCTGATGTGAGGGTACAGATCCGTTGCCTGGGTGGAGCACACCCAACTCTCTATTTGGAGATTTGCAAAACTAGAAATTAAAAAAGACCATCTGCACAGTAATCTCTCATTGCAAAGGAAGCCAAACACAGGCAACTTCTTGCTGCTTGAGGCAGAACACCTGACCATACAATGCGTGAATTCAAATACCGTATTTTTTGCCCTATAGGACGCACTTTTCCCCCTCCAAAAATAAAGGGAAAATCTGGGTGCGTCCTATGGGGCGAATGCAGGCTTTCGCTGAAGCTTGGAGAGCGAGAGGGGTCGGTCCGCACCGACCCCTCTCGCTCTCCAGGCTTCAGCAAGCTATCAGCAAGCCTGGGGAGCCCGCGGGAATTCCCGCAGGGCTCCCCAGGCTGCAGATAGCAGCCTGCCGCCCGGCGCGCAGGATGCCCTGAAGCAGAGCGCCCCTCGCGCTGGGCAGACACCCGCAGCCGAGGGAGCCCCGCGGGAGGTCCCGCAGGGCTCCCTGGCTGCGCATAGCAGCCTGCTGCCCGGCGCGCCCTGAAGCAGAGCGCCTCGCCGCCGGGCAGATATCCACAGCCGAGGGAGCCCCGCGGGAGGTCCCTCAGGGCTCCCTCGGCTGCGGATAGCAGCCTGCTTCCCGGAGCGCGGGGTGCGCTGAAAGCAGAGTGCCCCGCGCTTCGGGCAGACATCGGGCAGCCCCACAAGCTCGGGGGACAGCGGGGAGATGCAGCGCAGCCATCCCGCTGTTCCCCACCTGGTTTGGATTCCCCGACCTGGTTTTGGGGGGGGAAATAAAGGGGGGGAAATTTCCTTTATTTCCCCCCCAAAAAACTAGGTGCGTCCTATGGGACGAAAAATACGGTATGTTTGTCATGCACACTGTCTCACCAGGGAGCCATAATTGGCTGCATTTCTTTGTTAGGACTCGCTCAAGACATCTTGCTGCCTAAGACCAAGGACAAGAGGGTGCCCCCCCCCCCAGGTACATACAGAAGCCAACTGGACTGTTACCGGAGTGGGGCTGAGTGGGGTTTTGAACTCTGGTCTCTCCCAGAATCTAGTCAAACACTCTAACCAGTACACTGCTCCAGCTCCCCGGTGAATGCACACTTGAAGACAAACTCAGCCTTGCTTCCACGTAATGTTAACTGCCACTCTAGTCAACCCGTGTCTCCCAGCAATCTATCCCTGACCATTATAGGAAACAGATGCATGAGCACTTCAGTGAACCTTCTCCCTTCAAGTGCGGTCCACATTCTTACAGACATACTATGAGAACCCAACCACACGCAGCCTACTGAACTTGAGCAAACAAAACCCTTTTCCAGCATCTGGTCAGTCCCCCTACACTCTGAACTCTGCCTATTGACATCAGACAGGCACCTTCACTATACACATTTTGGTGCCTGCTAAAAACATACAGTATTTCGTTGTCCCCGAGAGGGGGCAATGACAATAAAGATTTATTATTATTATTATTATTATTATTATTATTATTATTATTATTTTATTATTATTATTATTTGTTTGGACAATCCTAAACAGATGTGTAGATTGTTAATGTACATTTTAATTCATTTTTAGTTTCCTCTTGCTTTTATATTTCAAGTTTTATATATTTTTTACTGATAATTTTATTGTTCCGTTCTCTTTGTAAACTGCTTTGATGTCCCACCCTAATAACACAAACACCTTAATTTTTGCAGGGAAGTGTCCCTGCCAGGATTCTGCTTACTCATGCTGGATCTTGTGATGGTTTGGTGGTTGTGTCCCAGTTTCAGGAACTTGCATTGGGAGTGTGGGGCTTTTTAACTAATGAAGCCAGGCGAGGGCACTTTGACTTTGTGAATGCAACTTTCTGACATTTCCCAGCAGATCATGTGGACACATTTGAGAATGCTGGAAAACAACAGGGAGAAGATAGAGCACACACTGTGCAGCTTTTGACAGGAGCAGCAAACTAGCAGTGTAAGCATGATGCTTTGAGGGTTGTTGCTGTTTTCAATCAATCAGCATATAAATTTTACAAAATAAATAAACATTCTACACCAAATTTGAAGAGAGGTGCTCCTAAAAGTAGGTGCCCCTCACTTCTTTTGACTAAGGAATAGATTCTGGGAAGTGCCCCCCCCCCCCAGATTGTTTGATTTCTGAATTCTTATTAAATGTTGTTCTCCCACTCTTTATCTAAAAAGCTCAGGCAAGCTTCCCTGAGTATCTGGGAACATTTTCTCTATTTTTTATTTATTTATACTGATGCATTTCTTAATATATGTGATTTTTGCATTCTGCTATCTTCCTGACAGTCATTTTAACTGCAGATAATGAAAGACAGCATCTCTTTAATTGCCAATAATGGAATGCAGATCACAAAAGAGGTGCAAATTGTGTGGTTTGAAAATATTTGCCACCTACTTATTCTGAATAATCAACAGTATTCAACATTGTTGTTCAGAACGAAACCCGTCCCATTTGTAAGCCGTAAATAAGAGACCCCAGCAAGAGGAACCTTGCATTGAAGAAGCCGGAAAAACCTAAATTTCTCTGACTGAAAGTGATGCAAGTCGGCAGAACGAGGCACATAGCTGATGCAGTATAAATACACTGACAGTCACCTTATCATGCTTAGAGAGACCCAACCCAAATAAACAAGGGCAACCACAGCAGAAAACATATTTGCACCATAACACGAAGGGAGATGGGGCTTTTGCACTGTTTTCTGTGATGTCTCATCTTCAGATAAGGAATAGATGCATGCGAAAGAGAGAAAGAGAGAGAGAATGCAAGAGCTGTTCCTTACCTGGCAAAGCCTTGGCCCATTTCACAACATGCACCAGGTGCCTCTCGCCCAACTCATTCAAGCTGGTCAAAAGGGCAGCAAAGGAATCAGGCTGGTTGTTGTCATGGCCAGCACACACCACCCCTGGCTCGATAGCTTCCAGGACATTGAGAAAGATGGGCTGGCACTCCAGGCTCTCAATGCGTGTCATGGCCATCTTTGGAGCTTGCTCCTCTGTAGGGCTGGAGGGGCCCGCTGCTTCCCCTTCTTCTTGCATCTTCAAGTTTCCCAGCTTCTTTAACTTGCGGGCTGCAGCAAGTAACAAGAACAAAAGAAGTGAGAACAGAAGAAGAGCCTGGTTCGATCAGGCCAGTGACCAATCTAGTCCAGAATCCTGTTGTTACAATGCCCAAATACTCCAAAGAACCTAGGAATTTAGATAAACTGCTCCTGGATCTGGAGGTTACATAGGAATGTCATAAGAGGGGCCCATCTAGTCCAGCACCCACTCTTCAGAGGTTAATCAGATGCCCCAATCGGAAACCCATGAGCAGGTTCCGTGCACAAGAGCACGTTCTCTCCCTCTAGCTTCCAACAAATGGTGTTCAGAAGCATTGCTGTCTCTGACCATGAAGGCAGAGCACACACATCTTGGCCAGTAGCCATAAATAGCCCTCTCCTCCATTAAAGCCACCTTAGTTAGCTATTGTAGCCTCTGAAGGGAACAAGTTCCATAGCTCAACTATGTGCTGTGTAAATAAGTTTAGTCAGAAAACTTGACTCTGTGGGCCAGCTGAGACCCCCATTCAGGTCAGAAATCAGCACACAGAAGCTGATGGAGAAGCTCATAAGAAGTTGTTGATGGTGGCTCCCACTTAACAGCAAGTAGCTGATGAGAACCTGCTGCAGTGTGCTGAATGGCCACCCGTCAGGGATTCTTTAGCTGTGATCCCTGCATTGCAGAGAGGTGGACAAGGTGGCCCTTGGAGGTGCCTTACAACTCTACAATTCTATGATTCTATGAATGTGGGTGTTGGCAAGCCAAAACAACTGCTCAAGCAGCAACCGGGGCAGTGGTGTGATGGCTGAATTCTGGGAGCTTCCAAGGATTCACTGAATACACAGCCAACAGGCCTAGAGATGGCATGGGCAGGATTTTCTTGCAATCACTGAAATTGTTGTGGATACACCATAACATAAGCCAACCTCCTAGCTTCTGCTAGGACTTTTGGCTTCTCAGCTACCATAAGACTGTTTCCCCCCCAGCCATGACAGCTACTGGTATTACCTATTGTCTTTAGCCAATTAGAACATCTCTAATTAGAGGCATTATTCCTACAAATACCCCAGTGGTGCAGCGTGGGTTACCAGTGACCGGGGCTGCGTGGAAGGGGAGAAGGGAGGGAAACGGATGGAGTATGCATGTGCATTCAACTGCCTAATGGCATCCGTGTCACCTGGAGATCACAGCCGCAGAGATAAGAAAAAAAGAATAGTTCCATTGTCTGGAGAGATCACTTCCTGGTTCGCATGGAGAATCCGTTTTCAACGGAGTCCAGCAATGGAAACGTGAAGCTGTACTGAGGCAGCACCAGTTGAAAATTTGCGCACCTAACAATTTTGCATCTGGGGCAACTTTTTTGCCCCATCATGCTAAGCCACTGGAATACCCTGCTGGGGACACACAACAGACAATTATTATTATTATCAATTTATTTATTACCCACCCTTCACCCTAAGGTACCAGTGTGGGTAAAAGCACTAAAAACAATATTAAAAGCAATTTAAAACAGCAAGGATCCCTATAAAACCATCTCATTCAGCATCAAGGAAATAATGCCGAAGATAATGCAGAAATGGTGCAGAACCCCAGTTAAACTTTCCTATATGCATAAACATACTTCACCTATGTCCTGGACTCCTGGTGAGGGTGTGGGGACAGGAGGAGCTATAGGCACTTGTAGTGGACATGCCCAATTGTGGTAAATTTTAGGGCAGAAATGTTTAATCAGATAAGTAACGTTGCAAATCAGCAACGTCACCAAGCCTCCAGAGCTTGAGTTACTGATTCTGTGTTTAAATGAGAATCAGAATTTGGGAGATAAATAACTAATTGGATTACTATTGGTGGCTGCATGTAGGGTTATAGCCACACTCTGGAATAACTTGAAAGATGCAAACATTTATTAATGATTGGAAGCCCCTTATGGACTTTTTTGTACAAAAAGGAAGATGAGCTAGAGATATCTGGGTTTGAAGACAGAGAAAAATGTCTCTTTATAGCTCAGCCGGTAGAGCATAAGACTCTTAATCTCAGGGTTATGGGTTCAAGCCCTATGTTGGGTTCAAGCTCCATGTTGGTCCCTTCCAACTCTACAATTCTATGTTAAGAGAAAAGTTAGAAGTGACTATGGAGCAAAGGTTTTGCATTTATCTATAAAGCTGGTAGACGGAGAATAGCAAGTCTTTATTTTCTTTTTTAGTTTTTATGTTAAAAAACACTTCATATATGATGTTAACTGTTGTATATTGCTTCTTTTTTGTTTTTTCAAGCATTAATAGGAACTTTTTTTAAAAAAAGAATTGATTCATCTATAGCATTTCTATCCCACCTTTCAGAACTCACTATGAAGTTGTTATAGTAAGTGCCACACTTTTAACATTTGGGGGGAAAGGGGCTTACACTGCATACCCCAGAAAGAAAGCACTGCCACTTTTTCTTCCAGGGAGTTCAGGGTGGCCAACACAGTTCTCCCCCTGCTTATTTGATCCCTGTTAGGCAGGTTAGGCTGAGAGGCTGTGATTTGCCCAAGGCCACACCCAGTGAGCTTCATGATGGCAAAGTGGGGGGATTTGAACATTGGTCTTCCCCAGGTCCTAGTCTGAAACTACACCACACTGGCTTTCCACCTAGGTATGTGTGGCTGGACCTCTCTCTACTGGAAACCTGCAAAACAGAATGGAACCTTTTCAGAATCTCTCCTGCCTAAGCTCTGCTAAAAGAGAGAACAGCAACCAGAGAAAAGAAATCCCAGAGAGATGCCAGGTTGCTTCAAGGTGGCATTTAAGCAGACCCTGTTCCTAGCAGACAGCAACCTTCACAACACAGACCTTGCATCATATTACACAGGAACAGGAACAAAACACAAGGAAGCCTGTGATTACGACTCTCTAATTGTCTGAAATAGGCTGTTTATTGCATTTATTTATTTATATTCACTCCTCAGTGTCTGCATTAATATTTGGCAATGCTTGTAGCTGTAAAAGAAAAGGTCTGCAGAGCCAAATTTTGTTATTCTAGACAGAAAACAACGACCATTTTATCCCTCCGAATCAACCCCCAGAAGTGTGCCAGCTTGGGGGGTGGGCAATTAGGTAAAGCAGAGAGGGGTGGAGAAGAACCCTGATTGCTCGATTTCAGCAAGAGAAAAAATAAAATGAAATGTGCTGTCCTTGGGGTTCTGGCTCCCAACATTAAACGATACTTATCTGAAACTTCCTTTGGCCATAATTAGAAAAATAAGCCTCCCGACGTAAAAACGTCAAATCAAAGAGCAGCCCTGTAAATCAGTGCAAAAGCTGATCTTTTAAATAATATGCTTTGGATGATCTACAGTAACAGCAATTAAGGGAGGCTCCGTAAAAATGGGAACAGGGCAATAAAAAAAGGAGAGTGAGTAAGCTTGGAAAAAAACAAGAGCAGAGTGCAGGGTGATATATTCTGGCAGTAATTTCTGTGGGACAGAACCAAAGAGAAAGAGAGGGAGGGAGGCAGGGAGGGAGAGTGATAGTGGGATCTACTCATTCCCAGCTCCCACCAAAGTTCAGGATACAGCCACATCACCAAGTTTTCCAAGATCAGCAGCTGGTGCTTTGCTTAGCTTAGAGACCGTTTCCCCTTGAGCTCCTCTGTCAGGCTAGAGCACCTGATCTGTGCTTCCCCTTTAGCAGAAATAGCCATAGCTGAGCGGCTAGTCAATCCCCGCTGGCATCTCAACATTGCTCTTCTTGCCTGCTGGATCAGGCCAAAGGGGGCCCATCTAGCCCAGCATCCTGTTCTCACAGTGGCCTCACAGTTGCCTATCGTGGGGAACCTGAAAGCAGGATTACAGTATAAGATCAAGACTCTCCCCTCCTGCAGTTTCCAGCAACTGATATTCAGAAGCACTGCTGTCTCCAACTGTGGAGGGCACATCATAACCATCCTGGCTAGTAGCCATCGATAGCCCTCTCCTCCTCCATGAATCTGTCAAATTCTCTTTTCAAGCCATCCAAGTTAGTGACCATCACAGCCTCCTGTAAAGGTGAATTCCATAGTTTAACTCTGTGCTGCGTGAAAGGAGGATTCCCCCTGGCCATGCCGCAGTTTAAGCAGCCTGCGGTCACGCCCACAGCCATGCTGATTGGACAGCTGGGGGGGTTGACGTGGCTAGGAGTCACCGTGATGCGGGTGGCATCCCTCCGCCTTCCAGCCAGGTCACTGAGAGGACCTGGATGCCCAGCTGCAACACCTCCCACCAGGGAAGGTGAGCGGACTTAGAGAGAGAGAGAGAGAGAGAGAGAGAGAGAGAGAGAGAGAGAACTTATCTACTTATTCATTTCTTTATTTTTACCTCACCTTTCCCCTTGACAGGCCTCAAAGTGGCTTATAGAGAAAAATAAGAACTGCTAAAAACACAGGGGGGAAATCATTAAAGAACAATTAATTTTTAATTTTTTTAATTAATTTTATATATCACCCTTCATTGAGAGACCACAGGGCAGTGTACAGCATAAAACACAAAATACATTATATAATAATAGTAAAAGGAAGAAAAGGACACCCCCTCTCTTTAAAAGACTGTAGATCATTAACAGCTGAAGGCCTGGTTGACGAAGAATGTTTTTGCCTGGGGAGCCACTGCAAAGAAGGTCCTGTTCTCATGTTGCCACCCTGTAGACTTTCGGTTGAGGGAGCCATGCATAATTTTATAAATTCCTATCTGCAACCTTTCTTCATAGGAGAGTTGCTCCACCCACCTTCATCATTTTGGTTGTCCTTTTCTGAACTATTTCCAACTCTACAATCTCCATTTTGAGGTAAGGTAACCAGATCTCTAGGCAGGGAGACTCTTGCCTGAAACCCTGAGGAGCAGTTGCTGGTCAGTATAGACAATACTGAACAAGATGGACCAATGGTATGTCTCAATCTAAGAATCTCTGTGGGAAACCATAGCAGTGGTCATCAACACCCAACCAAAAGGTCGCTTGCGAAGACCCAAGCTTGCACAGTCACATGGAAAGGAATCATTTCCCCTGAATCAGCACAC